TTTGTTATGAAAAGCATTTGTAATATATAAGGAATGAAATGCACAATTAGATCAAATAACAATATTAATCAAAAATATATTCTGTGAATACTTCAAAATAATTCTACAAAAAATCAAACCAAACAATAGTTTTCACGAAAATATATTCACAAATAATGAGAGGAATATTTAAAAAATCTTTACATCTTAAGCTCTCATTACTTTTGTAATCATTAAATTATATGAAACACGAGTTATAACAACAAAAATATTATAGTCATTGACTGTAAACGCAAAAAAAATTGCGAACAAAGTATTAAACGATTTAAAATTAAATGTAATTTCCGATAAATAAAAGCATTCACTTGTGTTAACGATAAAACATGGGATTAACTTAACTGTAATGACTGAATAACGTTAATATGGGTTACAATGTATGAGATATAAAGCCAAATAGATTTATCACATTTTAATTCTGACATAATTAGCAAAATAAGTACTATTTATCTAAAGTTAAAGCCATTAAAACCATTCCTCCTCTTCATCGTCGTCGTCATCCCTGTCCTCGTGGTCTGAGTCGAGCCATTGTCTCACCATTTGGTCGTAATGAGTGATGTAATCGACGATCTCATCCCTCAAATGCTGGACAATGAGCGGCACATTGTTTCGGACGTCCGCTTCGGTGTCTTCGCGAACGAACAGTCGTCTCAACTCTTCGGACTCGGAGTCCGTGTCATCCAAATCACAGAATGACTTCTTGTAAAACGGATTGTCGGCCACTGTTTGCCGACATTGAGGACACGTTATGTTTGTTGTCAACCATTTGCCGACACACTCTTCGTGGTAATAATGGCCGCACAAGAGTCGGGCCACTCTCTCGTCCGCTTCAATGGCGTCCAAACAGATAATACAATCGCTTTGGTATTCAACGTCTTCGGCACAAATGGTCACCACTAAGACATCCGTTGAATCAACATTTCTATTGGACTCTTGATCTCGAGGCCTGTCCTTAGCCTCCGACGAGACAATCGATGGCTCAGTTGTCACTAATTTTGAAGACATTTTCTCGTCAATTGTAAGTGTCTTTTGGAGACAATTGTCTCACAATTAGTGATCAAAATGTAAATCAAGTGAACAAAAGTCGGTTAAAAAGTAATCGCATATAAAATGCGTGTAAAAAGTGTTTTCCAAATGAGTTGTCAATAAGACTGCAAATCAAAGGAAAAAACTATTTTTGACGACTAATTCATTATTATTGTTGTATTGACTCAAAGGTTGCAAAAAATCCTATAAACGAAATACTTTTACATTTTTTAAAAACTTTGTTTTCAATGTTACAGTAGTTTTCATTTGTTAACACTTTATAAAAGCAATTAATTAAATATTTATTCAAATTATAACAGTTTTAACTAAACGTATTGTAAACGTAAGACTTTTTTATAGCAAAAAAGTTATTCAATACTTTTCAATGCCTTTCATTTGTAACGGTATTTAACGGTATATAAAGTTTTCGCAAACTTTTTGTTTGAAAATTAAGTTTTTGTAAGAATGATAAGAAATTGAATGAAACAAATCATACAAATGTAACAAATTGACCAAAACATGCTATCGGGCAAAGATTACACGAGGGTCAAAATATATATATGAATGACCATGATCATGCTACATCCCTGTACTCTATGCGTGTTTGTGTGTAAAAGCAATAAATTGTGATCATTGAGTGCATAAAGTATTTATGACAGGAAAGTAATGTTCAAAACGCGTACATCACTGCATATATGAGGTGTTAGTCACACCTGGATGTGAATACTATGTGATATAAATAGCCTGATTGACCCAAATGACAATATGATCATGGTCGTTTGCACACAATTGCATGCATTCTATTGCCACCTGAATATCCATAGACTGATGAATCACATTAAAGTCATATGAATAATAAAATAGCCACAAATATAGTGACAATCAGTGGTTATGTGGTGTGCATAGAGTGTGTGGAGTCAGTGATGGCAACGCTATGTGTAGGGAGTGTTGCAGTGAATTGGGGGCCCATTTGTAAGCACTAATGTTTTGATGGAATGGATTGTTTGTATGGCTCTCTCAGTACAAGCAAAACATCGTTCAGTTATTGAGTGATGAAATACTTGACAACACTTTATAACGTTTGAAGTGTTGATTGAATTGGCGTTTGGTTTGCATCTCATTTGCATTCACTGACCATTCAATGCATTCATCGCTTGAATGCTATTGTATTACAACATCTACTAATCAACTGATCATTTGCTCAACCATTCGATGGCCGGTAAGTCTGATCCACGCATTCGTTGTTTGTTTTAGTGATAATTGAATTGTGATTGAAATGTAGCCCAAAGTGGAGCCGAAGCTGAGGTAAGCGGTGATAACGAGATGCACACCAATGGCGGTGAAGACGCGAACGACGCGATACATCCGTCGCCATCGGCCACCACTTCCCGGTAATGGACACACATTTGCAGACATCGGTTCCAATCGTTATATGTTTGTTATTTTGTCTCTTTGTGGTAGTGTTGGGAACGGATCGGCAGCTGAACCGCCGCCAGAATACGGTGTCCTCAATATACACGAAGAGTCCATCGATTACGATATGAAGCACAAGAGTTTTGGCAAATGTATTATTTTGAATCACGAGTTCTTCAAACGCACGGATGTCTGTCCGCAACGGAAGGGCAGTTCGGCTGACGCTAACAATCTCTTCCAGTGCTTCACAAACATTGGCTTTGATGTGAAGATGAAGAACGATATGGACTGTCAGCAGCTGTTCCAATACATGTCGTCAGGTATTGAAACTTTAGGCCATTTGATGGCCACATAATTGTCTCGATTTTAACACTTGTTTGTCATTTGATGTGATGTAGTGTCGAAAGAGGACCACTCAGACAACGACTGCTTCGTCTGCTGTATTCTAACGCACGGCACGAATGACTCGCTCTGGGCTTACGATCAGTTGTATTCGTTTGAAAGCATTCTCAGCTTCTTTACGGGCGATAACTGCAAGTCTTTGGCCGCAAAACCAAAGATATTCATCATTCAGGTATGGGTTGATTGAATTGTTGCCTATTATTGAAATCAATTTAATTAATGACAACTGAATGCAAAGGCCTGTCGAGGAGCCAAATACGACGCCGGCGTGGATGTGAAAGTGCCGACCGATGTGTGCGACAGTGGGAACGGCTGTAAAATAGTCAAAATCCCCGCTTACGCCGACTTCTTGATCGCTTACTCCGCGTTTTCCGGGTATGACTCGTGAGTTGTGGTGCCTATTGCTTAACATTTGAACCTCTATTGTGTTCGCAATGTTTAGCCTGTATTCTTGGCGCAACACGCTTGAGGGCAGCTGGTTCATCAACTTCTTCACCAAAGTAGTCAACCAATACCACAAGAATATGGATCTGTTATCGATGCTGACGATAATCAACCAGAAAGTGGCCTACAATTGCGCCTCAATGACCAAAGAGGAGGCCGACAACGGCAAGAAACAGGTCGGATGTATCACTCATACGCTCACCAGAAGAATATTCTTCGCGCCTAAAGAGCACAGCAGTCGCAGCACTTACTTGTAAACACCGATCATGTCTTCAGATTCTTATTGTTTCGCACAAAACATGTTTTTTACAAATTTTATATATCTTTTTGTTTGCAAACATTAATTCAGAGATTTAATCGTGAATTTTAAACAATTAAACATTTATTTTACATAAGTTTGAAACCAATAAAACGAGCGTTTATTTAGTTTTGGTCTTCTTTTTGGATTTGCTGAGATGTTGAGGAATGGGTCCCAACTTGAAGATGGTGTGACACGTGGAACAGATGGGACTGAAGGAGCAGAAGATGGAGAGACATACGGAACAGACGAAACCCATTTCGATGATATTGCGGTGACAGAAACAGGCGGCCGAATGGGACACCTTCTGGCGCTCGGGAAGCACTAGTTTGGTTCGGGTCTCGGCGTCCGGCAGAAGACACCAAATCAAGTACTCTAGAAATGAGGCCACGTTTGGCACTCGAAGGTATGTGCCGTCCGTCAGATCGCATCCCTGTTGGAGCAAAGATGTGGCGCCACTATAGCTGTCGTCGCCGACAATACAGGCGTCGACCACAACACCCATCTTCTGGGCCGCGAAGAAGCAGTTCATGAAATTCATGTATTGAGAGGCGTATGAGTTGTTCTGATCGGCGGTACAACTCATGACCACAACTCGCGAGCACTTGTAGTCCTCTTTGAAGCGCTGTATTCGACACAAAGCCATAGCAATGGCGCCACTCATGAGCGGCGAACTGCTGTTCGCGGACACCGTCTGACCGCTCGACGATTGGGCCGATGTTTGCGACAATTGTTTGGCCTTTTGGGACATTGTCTTCAGATTGAGTCTCACGGTCTGCACCACTCGATGAAACACTTCGTACTGGCCTTCGTTGGAACCCTTTCTGGTGACCAGCTTTTGGTTGGATTCGCTCATCGGATACAACACCCGATTCTCCAGACTATTGGTTCCGATAATCGTTAATGAGTTCAACGAAGACATCAAGAGATGAGAGTTTGCGAAAGAGAGCAACGAATCCAACCATTGATAATACAGCGCCGAATCGGTCAGAAGGACACTATTGGCACTCATGTCGACGATGACCACCACATGAGTGCCCTTTGAGTTGATGTCCATTATTGCGATGTCTTCGCGAAGAGTGGCAAATGTGTGGATCAAATCAAAGACTTTTTTGAACAACGATTTTGTCACTCAATCTAATTGTAAACAAATATTACGACAAAAATGTTTATTAAATAACGTAATGCTTGTTATGAGGCGAATGTGTGGACTCTTTTGTATGTATGCATTGAACGCGAGTCTCGTATCGAAAGGACCCAAACAGTCGGTCGTGTTATTGAAGCCACAGATTTAAATGCTGTGCGAAAAACACAACACAAACACGTGTTTTGTCTCTTCTTTCGGTTAAGTCTTTGAATCGGATTTGTGTTGTGATAATCAATGGCCGCGAAGAGTGACACCCAATCCAGTGATGGACAACTGGTGATGACTGGCGGACACAATCTGGTCGGCTATCGGCCCGTCTTTACCAACGACTCGAAGTATTTGTTGATCCCTTCGGGAACTCATTTGCGACGATATGTGGTCGAAACGGGATCTTTCATCACATCCCACGACTTCGGCCATCAAAGTCCGATAGTGTCGGTGCAGATGATGGACAACCAGTCGGACGAAGTGATGGTCACTTCCAGCGATGGTTTAGTGATTGTCTGGAATTTGAGTGAAAACCGAAAAGTGAATGAATTTAACATAAAAGTGAACACCAATTATGAGACAATCATTTGGTCCCAATTTGTGGCCAATTATTTCTATTTCACCACAAATCGCATCAACAGAGAGACGATGGATAGCGTCTGTCAACTCTATTGCTGTCCCAAGAATTATGTTCAGCAAAAGATGGCAATGGATTCGACAAATCAAGTGAATCCCACCACCACTTCGGTGGCCTTCTGTCCATCGTCTTCGCCGCGACACTGTGTCGCGATTCACGAGAATCAGCTCTTCGTCTACAGTGTGCCGAAGAACCTGTCGTCGCAACGGAGGCGACACTTGATGGCGGCCGACAAGAAGTTCACGTGTATCGCATGCCATCCGTACGAAGAGATGATAGCGACCGGCGATTCGTTGGGAAGGATCACAATATGGCACGACTTTGTTGAGAACAACTACCCGTCGCGGTCTATAATGCATTGGCATCAGTGGCCAGTGGCCGACATATGCCTCTCACCGGAGGGCACGTCACTGTATTCGGTGGGCGCGGAGAACACACTCGTCCGCTGGACTATTTCGGGCAACAATTTCGGCAAAAATGATTTTATGCCGCGTTTGGGAATGAATATCAAGTTTGTGTCCATTGATCGCAATCAGCATATGATCGTCACATCACACGAAGACAACTCCATACAGATATTGGGCCCACAAATGAAAGGAATCAAATGCGTGATCGAAGGCCTGACGTTGGGCTCCGGCGGTAATTACGAACTCTCGACGGGTTTGATATGGAATCAGAAGATGAGAGCCATTACACTGAACGGCAGGACCGGTCACTTGCAGTTCTATTCGCCTGCGTGATCGAAGGCCTGACGTTGGGCTCCGGCGGTAATTACGAACTCTCGACGGGTTTGATATGGAATCAGAAGATGAGAGCCATTACACTGAACGGCAGGACCGGTCACTTGCAGTTCTATTCGCCAGAATGTCAGCGACAACTCTTCCAATTGGATGTTGTAAATCAGAATCTGATTACAAGTACCCGAGAAGTGACTGTAATTCCTACCGAATTGTCCAAAGCGGCGGTCAGTGAAGACGGTGTATGGCTTTCCACTCTTGAAATTCGAGACGATTTTGAAACGTTACCCGAAATTAGACTTAAATTTTGGGAATTGAAGCCAACGATGAAAAATTATTTATTGAATACAACCATTCATTTGCCCCACAAATCAAATGTCAATTGCCTTAGATTTGCACCAAATTCTCAATCCATGGTCTCTACGAGTTTGGATAAAGAGTTTAAGATTTGGGGTTTAGTTAAAGACGACGACAAGCAGTGGTGGAAGTGTTATAAAGTGGGAAATTTAAACACCGTTTCTGAGCCAACTATAGCCAACTGGTCATCTGATTCATCACTGCTGGCCATCGCTTACGACAATTTCGTTACGCTTTGGGATGTTTTTGACAAAACTGTTCTTAAATTGATGACCAAATTGTCTGTCGACGAGAAAAATGATTCAAAGCTCTTATTCGTTGACTTTGGATACGAAGACAAATCACATTATTTGATTGAAGGCCGCAGTAATCTCATTAAAGTGTGGAATCTATTGGATTTGAACGGTAAGTGTCTTTAGATTGACATTACATTATAATTACGGTATAATAATTGTTTGATCAATAGTTGTGTGGAAATGTCAAACGTATGAAACAATACGAAACATGTCTTTTAATAAATGGGAAAACAAAGTGGCCGTCACTTCAGACACGAGGATAACATTTTATGGACTCGATTCTGAAGATAGCGTCGGTTCTGTGGATGTGAAGGCTAGCGATGAGCCAATAATTGCCACTCTTTTCACCAATGAAAAGGCCGTTAGTTTTGAGGGAACCGATGCTAAGCCAGTGTTGGAGCGGACGAAGTGTTACTGTATGAACAACAGGCAAGAGTTGTTTGTTTTGGGACACAACGAGCGGCCGTCTGTCCGGCGGACAGAAGTGATGACATGGAATACGGGGGATGTGTTGTCTCCGATGGCACTCATGCTTATCAACAAAAAGGAGAGAAAGGAAGTGTTGAATACCGAAGACTTGGAGTCGTATTTCAAGACCAACACAAGTGTCACTAAACTAGTGGAGGATATGTTTTATAACGTGCCCTCACATGTGTTGCCACCGATTGATATCTTAAGCAAAACATTTTTAACGGCTTTGAATAAATGTCAGGACAATAAACACGAGATCAAAGATGACAAGCAGTTTAAAGTTCCCTCCGATCTGGAAATGAAGCCATTATTAGCGCTGAGTTATGACAATCATAGCGACAATCAGTCAAACTCTACTAATTTGGACACAAATGATAGGGAAAGTGAAGTGAAAGCTATGATAATTGACGACCAGAACGAAGAGGAGAACCAGTTTGTTGAAGAAGACTATTCGTGGCTCAAACAACTCGATGCTATTAATTGACTAAATATTATTATTGTATATTTAAATTGATAAATTCATATATAATTATTTTAATAAAGTTTTTGCCCTTCAAATGACTTACTATTTTACCATCAAATCATTTCTATTATACACTTAAATTTAATAGAAATGTATATATTTATAGTAAATCAAGAGATTTTAAGGAATTATCATTACGATTGGATTAATAAGATTCATGCAATTCATAGAAAGTGTTGACTCGTTGTCGTTGTGGTCTTTCATGTTATGGTTATAAAGTATTGACTAAACAATTGATATTCAATTTACATGTTATAATAAATTGTACTTTTGAATAACTTATTCAGAATTTCTTTAAAAACTTTTGAATAGAAAATCGGAGTTAATTTTCATTAATTATTAATTATCATAAATGACAGCTCAATAACTCATAAATAATTTATTAGTCAAGAGAACAAATCGTATGATTAAATCAAGTTTTAAAATTAACCAAAACCAGTATTTTTGCAATATTTAAGTGTTATATAAAGTGAAATATTGTTCACAAATATTTTAGTTTTTTAAGTAATAATTGTGAATAAAATGAGTGAATATCTAACACAACAGATAGTGGATGATTACCGAAGAGATGGTGCGGTTTGTATACGCAATGTATTCAACAATTACTGGATTGAGAAAGTGATTGAAGGAATTGAGAGGAATCTAAAGAATCCGAGCGATTATAGCGAGAGTTTGTCGAGCGATGGTCAGAGCGGCGCCTTCTTTAACGACTACTGCAACTGGAGGTCTATTCCCGAGTTTGAACAATACGTATACCAATCACCGGCCGCACAGATATGTGCGGCTCTTATGGACTCGGAGTACAGTGTCTTCTATCACGAACACGTACTCATCAAAGAGGCCGCGGCTAACCAACTAACGCCTTGGCATCACGACCAGGCATACTATCCCATCAATGGTTTCAAGGTATACCAAACGTTTACGATTTTTAATTTAAAGTATAATTAAATGATTATTATTAATTGGCTTACATTTGAATCCTTAGTCGAGTTTTTCTGTTTATTTGATAAAAATGAATAACATTTTAGATTTTTATAAAAATATCTTTGAAATAATTAAAACCGTGTACTGATTGGTAGAACTGCTCGATTTGGATGCCTTTAGATCCGGTGCCTATAGAGACGGCCGTTGAGTTTGCGGCGGCTTCTCATTTGGACAACAAGTGGTATAAACCGCGAAAATTTGCCACTCATTTGAATTACAACATTAATAACAACGATGTATGCGATAAGATTGCATACAATGACGTGCCTTCCGATCAATATATTCGCGATAATTACAAAATATTAAGCTTTGATGTAAAACCTGGCGATTGTATTGCATTTCATATGAGGACACTTCACGGCGCGCCCGGAAATCTGTCTGAATCTACTTCTAGAAGAGTTTTGAGCACTCGATGGTTAGGTATTGTAAACGATTTTTCAAATTCAGTTAAAATATTATATTTAATTTAATTTCTATTAATGCATATAAAGGCGACGATGCGGTGATAGGCGCCCGACCCTGGATTACATCTCCGCCCACAACTGGAGGCCTAGATATCGGTCAAAATGTGATTCAATCCAAGGAATTCCCTCTGATTTGGACCCGAAGTAAATAATTTGTTCCAATATATCGGCGCTTATTATTAATGATGAGATATTATAAGGAATTGTTTTAAAATATAATAAATTATTGTAACAATTATTACAAAACAATATTAATAATTGTCAATAATTTGCTAATTCTTATAAAATATTTGTTTGAGAAATACCACAGAGTAGTATAAAATATCCGACAAACATTATTGTCATCTATTAATACAAAAAAAATAATGGATTAAAATTTATGCAAAATTGTTTTCAAATCCTTACATCGATTAGATTTTTCCTTTTAATGCAGAAAATGTTTAAAAATGTAAAACCAGTGATTGTTTCGCTAACTTTATGAACCATTTGTTGTATTTCTTTACGTCTGGGAACTGACAATAAAAACAGATTAATTGAATTGAGTTTATTGTATGGCTGTTGAAGAGTTGTCGGAATCAGCGCTGCGGACGCACTGACAATATACAGGGTATAAAACAAATACATTATA